GGGGGGGCGGCGCTGGGTGCCGTGCGCAGGGGCGCCGCGTGGCGAGGGCAGTGGCTCACGCGCCGCGGCGTGCAGGGAGGCCAGGCCAGGGCTGGCTGGTCGGCGAGGCGATGAGGAAGCGACCGTCGTCCACCACCCCGGGCACCTCTCAGGAGGCGAACCCTGGCCCTTGAGGCCTCAGCATCAGCCCAGGCCCGCTCCAGACCCTGCCCCGCCAGGGAGGCGCTGGGTCGGGTTCTCGCGTCCCGCAGCCGGGCCACCTTCCCTCCCTGCCCACCTGGGCTGCTGGGACTCCGCGTCACTCCAGGTGACTTTCGAGGAGACTCTGTCCGCCCGCTGCACGAAGCCACGTGAAGGTGGCTGGGCACGGGCTCCCCTCCGGGCGCCCGCTCCCAAGTCCCGGCTGCCCGCTCTCGCCCACAGAGAGGTCCTGCCCGCCGAGGCCATCGCGAGGCTGGAACTCCTTGGACCCTGGCCGGGCGGGCAGTGCTCCCGACCCGCCGCTGCGTTCCCAGGCCGCTAGGGCCCGGTCGCCTCGCTGGCTCGCTGGGAGCAGAGCCCGGGGACCCCTGCCCGCTCCGAGGACCGCCGCCCGCCTCCCGCTCCCAACCCGCTCGGCGCCGGAGCAACGCCCCCACCCACCGCCTGGGCCCACTGCCCTGGAAACTCCGCATCAAACGCCAAAGACACTTAGCTTTTGTTTCTGATTATAAATTAACAAATAGAAAACAAGAAAAGCACAATATGGAAATTAAACATCACCATCCCACCACCCACAAAAATCACGGCCTATTGCGAAACATATACATATTATGTATACATTTTTGACCTCTTTATTTAGCGCCATATTATGAGCTACCTCCCATTGCCATTCCACATACTAAACGTGCATTGTGACGTATGAAGCCCAACATCATGATGGATGAGCAGTCATTTCCCATGTGCTGCAGTAAACAAAATGGCTCAACTCGAGTTGTTTTCTTAGGATGGATTCCTGGAAGTAGAATTGCTAAATGAAAGAGAATGATATTTTTCAGCTGTCAATGTGTTTTTCCAAACTGCCCTCCAGAAAGGTATTTTATATCCACTTACACTTCCACCTGCAGTGAAACAAGCACATTGCACGTCAGCAGTGTGGCTTTGGGCAAGTCACTTGACCTCCGTGTCTCAGTTTCTGCATCAGCAAAATGAGGAAAAGTAATACTTGCCTCACAAGGAGTGAAGGGATGCAAGCTGTGAGAACTGTGCTAACACAGAAGCACTATCTGCGAATTTGCTATTGCTAACAGAAGAACTATACAAACCATTGATAGAATTGAATATTGTGACGTTAAATAAATGTTTGCTAATAGTACTGAAAATGGTGTTCTGATGTGACTCTTTGATTACTAGCAGGAGGAGAGAGAAACTGAGGCAGGAGGATATAAGAACTGAGCAAGTCCTTGGCACGGGAGGATGCATTGCTCAGAAGACCCCTTGGCCAGCACCAGGCAGCTGGGCAGAACAGTGCCTGGTGGAACAACAGAAGCTAGACCATGAGAAGGGCAGACAGCAGAAAATGCCCAAAGAAAGACTTGATTTCTTCTTCAGAAGGGAATAGTAAGGGTATTGTCCAGAGGAACTGGTTCTACAGTCCCAAGGCAAGGGAGATGCGAGGCTGAGGGGAGGAGGCATGTTGGGGAGAAGTGGGGGCAGGACCTTGAGAGACACTGTCTCCATACTCCAAGACCAGTGCCCAAGGCCAGCCTCTCCCCTTGTTCTCTAAACCACCTCAGGGTCCTTTTGAAGCTTGAACCAGTTTGGATTGAGTTGCACATTCAGCTGAAGCCTGACTAGTGAAAAGCTCCTGAAGTTAAATTCTCTATTGGGTAAAATAGTCAGGACCAGTGGGAGGGGCCCTGAAAGGAGCTGTGTGGGCTAGGGCACTGCGAAGCCCCAGGGGACCCTGGAACCTGTACATGCATTGTCCTCCAGGAGGACAGGAGCTATGCCCCAGGGAATGGCCAGGCAAGTGAAACTGAAGAAGTATGCTTAGAGTGCTGAGACAGGTTTGGGCAGGGGCACACCCTCAGTGGGGTTTAGGGCTGGGGAAGCTGATGTGCTCAACCAAGGACGGTAGCAGGACAGGGAACTTGGCAGCGAGCAGTTAGGAGTCCTCTAGGGGTGGGTGTGGGTTCTGGCTGTAGTGGTCCCGGGGTAGGAAACAGGACTTTCAAGTCAGCACCCTGAGTATCCAGTTGTAGTGGGGGGTGGGGTGCATAATGCTGTCTTGTTGGGGTAGACTCATATGGAGGAGAAAGGAAGCTTGAAAGGCAGGTCCTAACAGGTGGGAGAGGGAATGTCTGACTCTTGGGACCCGATTTGAAGGAAGGCAGGAATCTGGGTGCTCGATACTTTGTGGGGGTGGGGAGATCTGGTCAGGACAGGGACTCTAAAGAACACGTCATATCCCTCAAATCAGATTTCCAGGTTGTGTGCCAGTTTCCCAATGTTCTCCCTAGCGCTCCCAGTGAATACGCCAAATCTGAGTGGATCCTCTTCTTCAGCCTTGGGGAAATTCCAAAGGTCAGCAGAGCCCTCCCTGGGCTTGTCTTCTCCCCTCCCCGACTGCCTCACGGATTGGCGGTTACCACAAGGCTCTCAGGTCCAGGAGGTTATTTACTCAGACTGGCATCTACGCATCATGCTTAACCCAAATGATCCCAGAGGGGATCCAAAATATAACTCCCATGTCTCCTGGACTTCTAAGATCTAGAATCAGTTTGTCTTGAATACCTATGTCTGACTCTCTCCTCTGGAATGGGAGAATGAGGAGCTCTGTGGAACCACTCCCCAGGAAACAACCATCAGTAGTGAAAATTATTTTAAAAACCAACTACGTAAATTCCCTGGGAATTGTCCTAAGGGCGTACATCAAATGAAGAATCATCTATTCAGGAAAATTTATTAAATCTCAATAAGAACTGTGAGAATTTGTGGCACTTGAAGCATAAATTCCTCCCTCCCTTCTCTCTGCATCTCAGAGCAATGACTGAAGCTCCAATCTGGGTGGATGTGGCCAAGGAAATGGGACCCTCTCTTCCCTCAGCTCCCACTCAAGAGATGGCATCTTAGCATTTCTCACTATCATCCACACCTCCCCCACCCCAAGTTGTAGAAGCTAAATTCCTGGTGAGTGAAGCTGAGAGATTGAGGGCTCCCTTATTCTACCCAGTCTCCATTCACAGGGAAGAGGCTTGACCCCAGGTATGGCAAGCTGAGAATATTGGGGTCCTGATTGCTTGCCCCAGCTTATTTTCATGGGGCTGAGGCCTCATGTTGGAAGAGGTTAACTGAGAGGAACAGAGGCTACAGCCCTTGCTCAGAACCCTGCTCATGAAGCAGGTTATTGTTGAGAGAAGTGGGCCTCTATTCCTGCCCTCAGTTCCACAGCAGGGACTCAGAAATTGTGTACAGGGCCAGGCGCAGTGGCTCACGCCTGTAATCCTAGCACTCTGGGAGGCCAAGTCGGGAGGATCACTTGAGGTCAGGAGTTCGAGACCAGCTTGAGCAAGAGTGAGACTCCGTCTCTACTAAAAATAGAAAAAAAAAATTAGCCAGTCAACTAAAAATAGAAACAAAAAATTAGCCAGGCATGGTGGCTCATGCTTGTAGTCCCAGCTACTCGGGAGGCTGAGGCAGGAGGATCACTTGAGCCCAGGAGTTTGAGGTTGCTGTGAGCTAGGCTGACACCACGGCACTCACTCTAGCCCAGGCAACAAAATGAGACTCTGTCTCAAAAAAAAAAAAAAAAAAAAAAAAAGAGGGAGATCTTACTATATCACCCAGCCTGGTCTTGAACTCCTGGAGGGATCCTCCTGCCTCAGCCTCCCAAGTAACTGGGACTGCAGGTGTGAGCCACAATGTCTGGCTATACCTCTTGTGATAAAACATTCAACAAACTTGGAATAGAATGAACTTCTTCAATTCAATAAAGGGAATCTATGAAAAACCCCCAGCTAACATAATCCATAATGGTGAACAACTGAATTATTTCTCTTTAAGATCAGGAAAGAGACAATTATGTCCACTCCTAGCACCTCTATTCAACACTGTACTGAAGGTTCTAGCCAGGGAAAATTTTTTTGAAGGTAACTTTTTAAAATTATATGTATATATTTTATCTCAGAATACTACAGGGGTACAAATGTTTAGGTTACATATATTGCCTTTGCCCCACCCAAGTCAGAGCCACAAGCATGTCCATCCCCCAGACAGTACGCACTGCACTCATTAGGTGTATATGTACCCATCCCTTCCTCCGCCTCCCACCTGCCCAACACCCGATGAATGTTACTACTATATGTGCACATAAGTGTTTATCAGTTAATACCAAGTTGATGGTGAGTGCATGTGGTGCTTGTTTTTCCATTCTTGTGATATTTCACTTAGTAGAATGGGGTCCAGCTCCACCCAGGATAATATACTATCCAGGGAAATTAGGCAAGAAAATGAAATAAGCCAGTGTGGTGGCATAGACTTGTGGTCCTAGCTACTTGGGAGGCTGAGGCAGGAGGATTGCTTAAGGCCAGATCATGCCTGTGAATAGCCACTGTGCTCCAGCATGGGCAAGACAGTGAGAACTTGTCTTTTAAAAAAATAATAAGAAGAAAATGAAATGAAAGGCATCCAGATTTGAAAGAAATAAGTGAAGCTATCTCTATAGATGACATGACTTTGTATATTGAAAATCCTAAGGAATCCATAAAAACCTATTAAAACTAATAAACAAGTTCAGCAGGGTTACAGAATACAAGATCAATATACAAAAATCAAATGTATTTCTATACACTAGCAATGAGCAATCTGAAAATGAGATTATGAAAATAATTCCCTTTACAATGGCATCATAAAGAATAAAATACCTAGAAATAAATTTAACAGAAGTATAAAACTTATTCCCTGAAAACTACAAAACTTAGTTGAAAGAAATGTAAAAAGACCTAAGTAAATAGAAAGATATTTCATGTTCATGGATCAGAAGACTTAATATTATTAAGATGGCAATACTCCCCAAATCAATCTTGAGACCAGCCTGGGCAACCTAGTAAGAACTTGACTCAACAAAAAGCAAAAGAGTGGAAAGATTTAAAGTAATTCTTATTACATACATTAAATCAAGCTGATTTCCTTGCAGAAATTGGCAAGTTGAGCCTAAAATTCATATAGAAATTCAAGGGACCCAGAATAGTAAAAACCACCCTGAAAAAGTGGGAGCCCTTCCACTTACTGATCAAAACTTATTATAGAGCTGCAGTAACTAAGAAACTATGGTACTGGCATAAGGTTACAAATAGATCAATAGAATAGATTTGGAGTCCAGAAATAACCTCTCACATTAATGATCAACTAATTTTTGCTAACACAATTCAATGGAGAAAGAATAGTCTTTTTAACAAATGGGTCAA